ACTCTATGATTCTATGATTCTAATAGTTTCAAAATAGTTGAAATTGTTCCCTTAAAAATAGTTGCAAAAACCACAAACGGTTACAACAACCAGATCATTCCCCTTTGTTTTTAAGGACCAATGGCCATACAATTCAATTAGAATAGACTTAAAAGCTACAGAATTGATGACTGTCAACCAAAGAGTTGGAAACATTTCCACTGACATCCAGGCACTTGCCAGGTGTTTTTTCCCCCTTCTGGCACAAAAGCAAGAACTGTCATGAGAATCTATTATATTTTGCCACTGTGGTATTTCTTTGTCTCAGTCACTGTAATGCAGCCATTATGTTGTCTCACCATAATGTCCCTTGCCATTTTGCAGCTGAAATATGATGCATTGAAGCTGAGGTGAGTTCACATATGGGAAACAAACCCTTTTCCTGCTCAAAGCTGGGAGATTAGCAAGAGCATGCCTATTTGATCCTGTCCTGGAAGGACAAAATGGAGATACTGACAGCGTAAGTAGAGATAGAAGGGTCTGGCACAGAGGGGGTCCACAGACAGTTCGTTGTAGAGATGCTTAAGATGTTATTCATAAACTTACAATACAAAAGGAAGGTATGATATGTCTATTTTATATTACATGTAATATTACTAATAATAATACAATATAATAGTATAATGCAATATAGTAATATATAATACTGATATTGTGCTATGCTAATAATTTAATATATTGTATGTATATATAGATCTTGTAAGCCGCTCTGAGTCCCCTTCGGGGTGAGAAGGGCAGCATATAAATGCCATAAATAAATAAATATGAAAAAATTGTGCTAGGTATTTCCTTTAAGACAACATTTTTTCTTAGCATGTGTCTTTGGGGAGACTATAGAAGTAATCCTACCAAAGTTGGTGTAGAAGTCCCTTGATCTCACTGAGCAGAAGACATATATTGGTCTACTACTCCTGGTGCATGTATCTCATGGGCCTTGAAGGAACCATAATAAACACCTGTCCCATCTCCCCGAAGGGACTCAGGATGGCTCACAAAAGAACTCAAGGTACTGCACAGAAAAATAAAATTACATAACTATAACATCCAGCTATAGAAGCAGCCAACTCAAAGCAGCAATGAGTCTGAAAAGATCTAATAAACTTTACTAGGCACTAGAAGCTCGGTAAAAGAAACAAGAGCAATGCATAGTCTATCTGCCTTTAGAGACAGTTGGATTAGTTTTGGTGAATATCTTTGCAAATGGTGCACACTAAGGGGAACTGTAAATGACCACAATGTCTATTCTGGTAGTACATAACAAGTAAGGCTGGAAAATGTGACGTAAAAAGTGTGGTACTGTTGCTGTACTAATGTATAGACTCACATGTAAGTTAACCTCATGTTTAAGTCAAGGGCAAGCTTTGGGGCCAAAAATTTGAATTTTGATATGCTGTTCTGTTTATTTGCATGGATAAGTTGAGGATCACTCCATGGAGTGAGGAAAGGAACAGTGCCACCTCTGGGCCAGCCACTCATGGCCACCACTGCCATTTTCCCATCCAGGCACTCAAATAGACCAGAAGTGGTGTCATGACAGAGAGAGTAGAGGGGGGTCAATGCTTTCCAGATGAATTCAGATCTCACCTTTAGCCACTCAATGAAGGGGTAGCTTCTTTTAGATAAGAGTTAAGATACAACACTCACACTGACCCATTGATAGGTCGACCAAGGTTTTTGGGTTGATTTTTTTTGAGGAAAATTCCAAGACTTATACATAAGTATATAGGGTACATCTATGTTCGTCTGGAATATCTGTATGTGAAGAAACCTTGTAAGACCTCAGAACTAAGTGAAAGTGTCTTTCCAAAACCAGAAATGTTTTCTAGTCACTGGAGAAGTTCCTGTACTTTTAATGGAGTGGTTCTCAATCTGTGGGTTCCCAGCTGTTTTGGCCTACAACTTCCAGAAATCCTAGCCGGTTTACCACCTGTTAGGATTTCTGTGAGCTGAAGGCCAAAACATCAGGGGGCCCACAGGTTGACAACCACTGTATTAATGTTTGGGTACTATTCCATTATCTGGGTGGACTCAAAAGGGGGCCTAGACGGAGATGGATAGTTCATTTTATGGGAGGGGAGGTGTTGAATCTGTTTTCGCTGTTTATCCCCCTGCTCTCACTCCCATGTCACAAACAACAGTTGTTTTGATGACAGTGATATGTGTGGGGGGAATAACAGGAAAACAGGGAAAAGGTTTTACTCCTTCAACTCCCCTCTCCCCATAAAGTGGACTATCCTCTGTCTAGCCCCCCTTTTGGCCTCCACTCGGATAATGGAGCAGTACCATGTTTGTGTAGAAGAGAGAATTTCAGCAGGTGTTTCTTATCACCTGGTTGTATAAGCAACATTTTGCTGAAAAACCCTCTTCTACACAACCATCAAAGGTCCAGGAGTCATCTTTTGTTTTCACTCTGGCAATCCAACTCTACACTCACTAGAGGACATGAAGTCCCTTTTAAAGCCAGTTTCTTTAGGGGGCTCAGTGTATTAAAGGATAGGAACAGTCCTCCAAGGTTCAGGAGAAAGCCCAGCACATATACTAAAACTCTGGACATTGTCCACTGCTGCACTGGAATATCACATTGCGAGCTTGTGGTCACAAAAATAATCACTGTATCATTAACTGCCGGATGAGGAGGAGCCCATCTGCTATGTTTCATTTTGTCATCAGATGAGGGTGTTTTGTTTAGAGAAACTACGTATGACAATTTGCTTCAGCTGGAACTATCTGCTTTGTAGGTGGTTCCATGAAGCAATTGCTTTCTGCTTGTGCCAAACCAAAATTTCTCAGTGTCTCTTAATTTATATGGAATTCATCTGTGATAGATTTGACAGAACGGACATTTTTTGTTTGAAGTAGAGCGCAACTGTACCTGTGCATAAAACAAATGACAGTGATGAGATAGGTAACAAAGGGCACTTGTGAAGAACCTTATGTTTCTCTTACTTATTTAACCTGACTCATCTATTTCCAAGACTGATATTCTGGGATGATTTTACTTCTTCCCTCTATTGGAGGAGGATGGGTTGGATTGGACTCATGTGCAAGAAGTCAGAGATGTGTGTACACAACCTATGTCCAGCGATACTTTTGAGGGGTTTTCTGGGGATTGGCAAACTGATGATACATGGGGAGACCTAAGTCTTGATAAGAGATGGAAAAGTTGGCGGGATGGGTGTTGGCGCTCAGCTGTAGAGGCTAAAGCAGCTGACAGTGATGAGGAGGGGGTGGAGGACAGTTCATCAAGCGATAATGAGTTGTAAGATAAATGTAGGCACTGAGGTAATGGAACTTTGCAGAAGGCAAATCGTTGGATTTGTGCCTGGGTCTTTGTCGCTGCCATTTCTCTTTTTGGGTCCTGGAGCTACAGGTTGCTGCTTTCTCCGTGTATTGACTGGCTTTGGATTCCCGTAAGTGCTGACTTCCCCTCTTTTGACTTCTGATTGCCTGGACAACGACGCTGCTTTTTGGACTCTTCTATCTTCGACTTCGGACTGTTTTTGGCCTACGGCTTTGTGTTCTGTTTATTTGCATACTTTGAACTCTGTGACTTTGGAGTGTTTTGCTCAATCTTTTGTTTATCCCAGATTATATGCCGGTTTAATCCGGATTATTTGCCAAGTTAAATTTTTGTCTTGCAAATTGCTTGAAATGTTTTGTTTTGGCTAGGGACACTGAAGTAAGTGTCCCTGAGTCCTTTTTGTTGCCTTAATAAACTTTGTTTGGACCTTATCCCTGTGTCTGGCTCTTTAAAGGCATCTGTATCCCGACAAGTATTATCTGACAATTAATCTTTCTTTGAATCCCAGCTCAACCCAAAAAAATTCCTGGTGTTTTGGTTTTTAGGCCTGTTCCTGGGGTTATATGAGGTGCTGATTCAGAAAACTGCATTGGATAGACTGCATGAAACCTAGTTTCTTAGATATGATTGAATTTATAAAATTAATTTTTAAATTTTATTTTTGGTATGAAATAAGTGGATTTTCATGTACTACACTTTTACTAACACGTTTCCTTCATGCTTTAAACATATTAATTTAAACATTAAAATACTGATTTATTTATGGGTGAGCAGACTGAAGAATGGTATATGGCATATGTTTTGTATCTCAAAAACTAGAGCTGATTGGGGGGGGGGGGGCTGGTGTCATTTTTTGAACTGGCAGATCTCATATACCCAGAAATAGGGCTAACATTTGAAGCACTGAAATGTGTGTTGGCCAGTGTAATTGTTGCCCACATTTGACTTCCCAAACCCCCAATTAATTATGACAATTTACCCAAACTCTCAAATTCATTATTGCAAAATATCAAACAAAAAACAAAAACCTAGATAGGTACTTTCAGATTAGAAGCAAACACCACTTTCCAACTCACCCCTCAAAAAAGCCATATCATTAAAATGAACCAGCAAGCACATTTATTATATTTGATTTAAAATAAAACAATCATGTCTGTCATACAGAGGATTGTATTCAGTATAATATACAAGTAAATCTCAGCAACACACTTTTGAGCTCAAGTTTAACTTTGTTTTGTTGTCTTAAATTGCCTTAAGTTCTGGAAATACAACACGATAAAGCTTTAAATGGCTAGGCCAATGAATCAGGGCATCTATTTTGAATAATATAACACCATTTCTGGGGAAGATCATCAAATGTTTTGGGTTCAATGAGTCGTAGCTAAATAGGATACTCAATGTTCAGTTTAAATATCTGTTTAATCTTCAGAATGGGCAGGGGAATGCTATAAATCTGCAATGCTACTACAGATATATGTCGGTTTATGTGCTGAGAGGTGAACAGAACAATAAAACAGGGAGAAAGAGACTAAAAAGAGAAATAAAAATACAAATGATATTAAAGATTGCTTATGATTGGTAGTCCTCCATGGCACATATTGCATGAGTAACTTTCCTTGCTCATTAGACAAAATTGAGTTCCATCCCCAAAGTATTCCATGTATTTTTCATGAAGAAAGGGTTGAAAAAGCAGAGTGTTGAGAGGAAATGCTACAGACTTCCAAGTTAGTGAAGGAGCTCCCAGCATCACTGGTGTATTCTGGATAGGATGAACTAGAAGAGATGATGTTCTTCAGCCTTTGAAGGGCAATTATTAATAGCAAGAGAAGAAAAGCAAGAAGGCTGAGAAATATTGACACATAGACATAGACATTAGACATGCGTCCCGAAGATGAATCCATGGATGTCGAGAGAGAAGTGGGGTACAGTTCCAGAAAAGTTCCATTTTCCATGTTTCCTATTAATCCAGATGTAGGGTTGAGTTCTGACATTTTTTTTTAAACTGGCTGTTGTATAATAAAATAGAAGAGAGCTAGTAGTCCAAGACAGATTTCCATAAAACGAATGCCATATTAAGCCACTCAGTAATGCCCATTACTCTCCACTTCTTTGATGAAAATGAACTTGAGATGTACTATGTGTTGGCCCTGTAAAGAATAAAAGAAGGAAATAACCATTAGAGAATTTCATTTCATTATTCATTTCCATTTCCATTTGATGTGGTACTGAAATTTCTAAAAACAACAATTTCTGTTCCACATTTTGTAAATGATGCAAGAAAAGTTGGCACGTATAATTTCAAAAGTATACTCTGTGCTTAACAGTTGTTAACAAATCCAACAAGTTCAGAAATCAAGAACCACATGCATATTCTCCTATTTCCTGAAACAAATGCATGGTAAGTAGTTGTTTGCTGAACTCAATACACTGTAGTTGTTTTGTTGGGGTTTTTTCCCCATTAAGACCATAAATAAAGAACTACAACTCTATATATTTCTCAACGTTTGTAGTAATTACCAATTCAGTGAGTTGCCTTATGTGCCAGGCAGCTACATAAGAGCCAGGGAGGTGTAGTGGTTTTGGTATTGGTTTATCCTGGGAACCCTCCTTATCACTCGATTTCTTATCTGCTGTTGGTACTTCTGGCTCCCTGACTGGCCTTGAGGCCCTGTACTTCCCAAGCCAGTTTCCTCACAAAGAGAACCACAATTTTCCAGACCTGAATTTCCCAGACTTGAGAGCCTATCACTTTATGCCACAGGAAATTTCACAGTCCTCTCTAAATTATCAGTTAAACCATCAGCCTCTGGCTGATCTACAACAATTTTTCATAGTAAAAATTGTCATTTGAGTTGACATGAAAAGATTCATTCTAATATCCTAAACACCACTATTTCCTCTTTATAGATACATGCTTATCTCACCCACATGCTAATGTTAATGTTAGCATTCCCATTTCTACTCAAATGGGAATAGAATGGAAAAGCTCATTCCAAGGCATTCTGGTGCATAGGACCCCAAAGTCTACGTTGTCTCAACATGGTTGATCTTTAGGCAAGTGTGCATACATTACAGTGTTTCACAGATTGTATTTCACAGGACATCTGGGACCAAGTAACTTAGGAGTGGATCAAGATGGCAAAGGTTATTAATGAGGAAGAACACACAAGCTAGGAGAGGCTGCAGCAGTTTGGTTTTGCCTAAGCTTACTGGGAAGCTGGAGGAGAAACTAGGACACTTTTAAAGGAGATGAAAAAGTGGAATGACTAACTATTAATCAGGACTGCTCTCACTAATTAGGGACAGTTGGAGGGCATGAATATGATAAAAGTGGGGGTGGGTAGGATTGGGGGTGGATATGAGTTTTAAAGGCAATTTTAATGTATTTCCTTTATTTAAATTGTTTTACCACACTGTTATTATTTAATTGTTTTTAATTTTTGTATTGCCCGGGAGGCGCAGTGGGCTAAACCGCTGAGCTGCTGAACTCGCTGACAGAAAGGTCAGTGGTTCAAATCCAGGGAGCGAGGTGAGCTCCTGCTGTTAACCCCAGCTTCTGCCAACCTAGCAGTTTGAAAACATGCAAATGTGAGTAGAAAAATAGGTACCGGTTTGGCAGGAAGGTAACGACACTTCATGAAGTCATGCTGGCCACATGACCTTGCCAGCAACTATGGACAACGTTGTCTCTTTGGCTTAGAAATGGAGATGAGCACCACCCTACACAGTCGGACATGACTAGAGCTAATATCAAGGGGAAACCTTTACCTTTACTGTATTGCTCTTTTTAAACTGTTTAGTGTGGATAAATGTTAGCTGCCGTGAGTCCTCATGGGGAGAAAAGCGGGCTATAAAGAACGATAACAACAACAGCAACAACAACAACAACAACAACAACAACAACTTTATTTATGTCCCACCACCATCTCCCAAAAGGGACTTGGGGTGGCTTATAGAATAATAATAATAATAATAATAATAATAATAATAATAATAATAATAGTTCATATGTTTTCCTACTCTATTCTGCTGGAGAAGACACAATAGAATAGATCAGTGCAATGCAGAAATCCAAATCAAAGACCCGAAGATCAGCCTGTTTCTGTCCAAATGTGTCAAAAGCAGAGATTTGTCCACTTCTGATGTTTAGCCATCTTATTTAGTCTTTTCTTTCACAGCAAGGTCCATTGGTTTTATCAGTCTCACTGAAAGAGAACACAGTACTACTGAAAGACATCGGTGTAATACAAAAGTAATATTTGTTTCAAGGATAATTACATTTGTTTCAATGGGACTATAAAAGCGCCTTGCAGCATTGCCAATGTGTTTTTATAGTCCGATTGAAACGTGATAAATCTTTAGGCCATGATTGCTGTTTGCTTGTTTAGGATGTCATATTAAGGTCAGAGAGACAGTGTTGCATAGGAAAGTGCAGCGCTGGATTAAGACTAAAGAGATCCAGGGTCAAATTTCCGCAACACCATAAAACTCACCGGGTGACAGAGTCCCTCCCTCTCAGCTTGACCTACTTCATAGATTTTTTGTGAGGATAAATGAGGGAGGAGAACCTTGTAAGCCACCCTGAGCTCTGGGGAGGAAAGATGAGTTCAAAATGAAATCAATTAAGTTAAAAATAACCCTTCTGTGCTTCCAGGAAGCTGCGCCAATACTTCTACACATAGTGCTCTACTTTGTCATCATTGTTTGGCATTTTTCGATCCTCTTGGTTCCTCTAACATACATTAAAGGCTTCTCCTTCAAGATGCAGACACTTCCTGTGGCTGAGAAAAGCAAGAAACCATGAGTACCTGTCAGGAAATACAGGCATCCTTTTACTAGCATCATTTGTTTCTTGGCAGACTAAAAGGTGCCTCCCGAGACACCTTTGACAGCCCTAAATAATCTACCTCACCATCTTCCTGAGTGTGTGTGAATAACAGTCATGTAACAGTATGGTCCAGACAACTACCTGTAAATTGCTACCTCAGACGCCTTTTAAATGGCAGCTAAATAACTTTCAGCAATATGTGAAAACCATGTCTCTTATTGAGTCTGCACTCACTGTTATGTCCTTCATGCCAACTCTGACCTATGCCAACCTTACCCCAGGGTTTTCTTGGCAAGCTTTATTTAGAGGAGAGATTAACTTGCTCAAGATTGGATTTTCATGGCTGGACAGAGATTTGAATTCTGGTCTCTGTCCAACACTGAAACCACTATAGCAGTGGTTCTTGACCTTCCTAATGCCGTGACCCCTTCATATAGTTCCTCATATTGTGGTGACCCCCAAACATAAAATTATTTTCGTTGCTACTTCATAACTCTAATTTTGGAACTGTAATGAGTCATTATGTAAATATCTAATATGCAGGATGTACTTTCATTCACTGGACCAAATTTGGCACAAATACCAGTTATGCCCAAATTTGAATACTGGTGGGGTTAAGGAGGATTCATTTTGTCATTCGGGAGTTGTAGTTGCTCGGATTTATAGCTAACCTACAATCAAAGAGCATTTTGAACTCCACCAATGATGGAATTTAACGAAATTTGGTACACAGAACTTCCATGACCAACAGAAAATACTGGAAGGGTTTGGTGGGTACCAACCTTGAGTTTTGGAGTTGTAGTTCACCCAAATCCAGAGAGCACTGTGGACTGAAACGATAGATCTGGACCAAACTTGGTACAAATACTCAATATGCCCAAATGTGAACACTGGTGGAGTTTGGGGGAAAATAGACCTTGATATTCATTTATTTATTTACTATATTTATATACTGCCTCCCTCAGCCCAGAGGAAACTTGGAGCGGTTCACAAATTGGCAACAATTCGATGCCTCAACAATTATAACAAGTAAAAACAATCAAGAAATTATGTTAAAAATAATAGCATATGATATAAAAAATATAAAAACCATACAAAGCCTTAAAACATTTGGGAGTTCTAGTTGCTGGGATTTATAGTTCAATACATTCTGAACCCCACTAATGACAGAATTGGGCTAAACTTCTCACACAGAACCCCAATGACCAACAGAAAATACTGTGTTTTCTGATGGTCTTTGGTGACCCCTCTGACACCCTCTTGTGACCCCTCAATGCTGACTTTCTGTACAAAACTAGCTGAAAGGGGTTTGTGCTATTGTCGAAAACTTGCCTCAATTAAACAATTAAACAGTGATTTTTTTTATTTCATTATTCAACTGGAATATAGAATGAACAGTGCATCAGGGAAAAACATCAAATTCTATATATACACACCACAGAGAAGAGCATCTATTAGCAATAAGCCTCATGCTATGTCCATAAGTGTCCTTCCAAAATTTGCCTGAACTGCAAGTATCCACAATTGTGTTTATTCTTTTTATGGAAAGCTTAGCACTATGATTTGCATAATACATATGCCCTAATCCTGCACTTGCTTGCACATTTTAAAAATATTTCATGCGCTCAGTTGCTTTAGATCAGGGGTGGGGAACCATGGGAAGTGGTGGGGGGCTGCATTAGCACCCTGGAAGACCTTGGAGAACACACTGTCCTGCTGTTCCAGGAGTTCAAAAGGAGAAGCATGAAATCTGCAATAATAAACAGTCTGAGATCAAGAAGCCATAAATCAGAACAATCCAAGTTGAGAAGCCAGTGAGCAGTCCATGGGTCATAAATCCCAGGCATTCAATAGCAGGATCCAAKKTCACAAGGTGGACTGAACTTGCTTTTAGTACCACCCAGAAAGMYWYTAGCAGCTWTTARCAAAATTTATCTCAGSCTACATACTACATGGATGCCTGATAGTATTTAGAGAACATATGTCACAGTTGTGGGCACATAGCTTTTCACTGTGTCTGAGGCCCTGTGTYAAACACTTAATTCACTGGGTTGCTGTGAKTTTTGCAGGCTATAWGGCCATGTTTCARAAGCATTCTCTCCTGATGTTTTTCCCACATCTATGGCAGGCATCCTTACAGATTATGAGGTCTGTTGGAAACTAGGCAAGTGGGGTTTATATATCTGTGGAATGTCCAGGGTGGGAGAAAGAACTTGTCTGCTTGAGGCAAGTGTAAATGTTGCAATTGGCCACCTTGATTAGCATTGAATGGCCTTGCTGTTTCAAAGACTGGCTGATTCCTGCCTGGGGGAATCCTTT